ATTAAAGTTTTTCTTCATTACCCATTTAAGCCGTCTCCAGCCATTATTTAGTAAGAAGATTCTGCATACTAAAAGTGATTTTAGTTCTTACAAAAACTAATGCAAAATGTCTAACTAGGTGTGCATAGTGGTGTTAATTACGATTAATATCAAACCGCATTAATACATAGAAAATGCTTAATTTTACTTTCTGCAGACACTGCTAATGTGCAAGACTTAAAAGATGGAAAATAATGAAGAAAATGGGTGCAAATTTTAGTTTGAAAATTACATAGCTTAAACTACTCTCTTTTGTAATAAAAAATATATAAAGGCATGTTTATATCTTTAGAAAATATGCTAAAAAACTACACTAAACAGTTTTTCATACCTTAAGGCCACATAAAGATTCATTACGTTTCATGTCATCTCTGGTACATAAAATCTGCCTTAAAAGCTGATTTTTCTTCTACATAAAGTGTATTCAAAATTTAGTTCAGAATCTCTAAAATGATTTTAAGTTTTTCATAGATGAGATAAACTCTGATCAAGCGGGTGAACTCTTCTGCAATGTGACATTTTTATCGTTTTCATCAGACGTGAGAAGTTTTGCATAAAGAAGAGGGAAATTACAAGTATGTTTTCTATCTGTTCTTAGCCAGGCAAAATCTTAAATACAACTTCCAACCTTATTCTGTTGCCCTAATTCAACTTCTTCTCATTCTGTTTTAATCTATATACGAGCCTCTCCTTTTTTCTCTTAATAATAATAATAATCATCATTTTTTTTTACAAATCCTAATTCTAGACAAAAATTTAAAATTGTATTTTTTTTACTTCCTTTCAAAGCTACACCATGCAACAATATTTTCAGTCTCAGGATGTAACGAAAATGTATTCGTGGAAATTGATATATTATATATATATATATTGTGTTTTGAGTTGTATTATAGTCACTACAGTGAACTTATCGTTACAGAATAATGTGTAACATTGATTACGCATGTTATACTGCTAAATAATTCCACAGATAAGTTGCTCAACATACGAAAAGTGATCATGAAACCCAACTCTATCATTCGATTCACCACTTGCTACTAAGATTCTTATACTGTTGTACTTTATATTATATGTATGGTGTTTTTAGTTATACTCGTTACTGTGAACTTATATCTTTATACAATTTGAAACCTACTCTTGTTTTTCCGATTCGTCCCAGTCCAGGATTACTGATGAGGAGTGAAATTCCCCTAAACCGGTAAAAGTCAGTCAAAAGTGGTGATTCAAATGATATACTGGGCTTCATATTTAGAAATTTAACTGTCTGATGATGATGGCACGAAGCCCTTAAACAATGATAATATTGTTTTAGAAATTCCTCTTAAGTACCAATGTTGTAGCCTCCCAGTAGCACAGCGGTATGTCTGCGGACTCACAACACTGGAAACCGGGTTTCAATACCTGTGGTTGGCTATTGTGTAGCTTTGTGCTTAACTTCAAACGACAACCAGTGTTGTAATTATTCCACGAGTCAATTAACTTAGAGTCTAACTAT